ACGAGTATTCGATGCGATAGGACGACCGAGATCGACAACGTCACAACTCACGTTGACCAACAAGTGAGACGATGACACCCCGACCCTAAGTGCATGAGTGGCTAGGGCCAACAGACGAGTGAGTGGGGAGCGCTGAGCTTGCTACCTCGTCATCATCCTCGACTCCTCGGCCTCAACCGATGACGACTCAACCTAGTCCTGACCAGTAAGCTGAGATGACCCTGAGAATAGTTGTAGATCATAATTCAATCAAATTGATTGATTGAATAGAAAGTAATGCAAATGTTTGATTCAAACTTGAGGGCTTGCATATCGTCTCGGGGCTCAAATTCCTACAGACATGTTTGGTGATTATCCTTGATATTGTAAATGATAACCCCCTCCCCCCCCCCCTCCCCCTCTCCCCCTCCTCCCCTACTGCTTGAGGTTATCTTCTCCCCAGTTTTATCAATATGATACTATTAACTTTTGAACATACATTTAATAATTGGTCCTGTTAAATTCTTTTTGCAAACATAAATAATATAAGTCATGCTTAAAACCTAAATGAAGTCACAGACAAATAAATGATAAATATATATTTTTTAGTAAGATGAATAATCAAACATAAAAAAAATCAATGATTTCATATGTTAAAAACTGACAAGAGTATATCACAATTGTGCAGCCTTTGACTACTCTCTCTAGATGTCCCTCCATGCCTAATGTGTCCCCTACTTCTTTCTGACTTCGAGTCACTGATACGTGGACTCACTTGGTAGAGGGTTCATATATCAGTGATACATGGAATTACTTGGCAGAGGGTTCATATATCAGTGACCCATGTCAGATGGAACTAAATTACCATGGCCTCAACTTTTTAAAAATTTCATGAAAGTTGGTCTGTCATACTCCATATAGGATGGTTTTGATCTTCTCCCCTCCTAAAATTTTGTAATTATTTTTCCAGAGTATGTATTTCAAACAGGGGTTTAAATGGAAACGGAACAAATACATCGCAAGGAGTGCAGTCGCAAACGGATGCAATCGCTTTATACGTCCCCGTACAGATAAAGTGTACCCTCTCTAGCACGTCCGACCGTAGCTGTCTGAGTCTAAGCTTGACCGACTGTTACTCCAGCTGGCTGAAGCTTGCCCAATGGTTACTCCCTACTTCTGTCAGTGTCCGGTGGCCCCCCTTGACAGTATCATTTTTTTTCTTTTTGAGACATTGATAGTATCGGTTTCTATGCAATTGTGGATAGTGTTCATTGTATTGTACTTCTCACATTTTCCCTTTTCCCCTTACAATATACTCCCTCCATTCCAAAAAAACCTAATTCTAGGTTTGAACCACACATAGGTTCAGGTTCAAAACTAGGATTGTTTTTTTTTTTGGGACGGAGGGAGTACACCATCCGTGACTCGTCCAATAAAAAGTCAAATTCTATATTTGAATCTAAACATAAACTTATTTATGTGCACTCGTATGTCTGTAATATTTTTAATTAAAATTTATAGGTAAATATAATAATTTAAGAAATGTAGATATCATTTTGTCAACTTCCTCTTCCTATATTCATCAAAATATTCTTAACTGTTATTTTCCTCGGGAATCATTATCCTTTCTCTCCCTATCGGTTGGCGGTGAAAAGTGAAAAGGCAACTTCCTTCCCCTTTGTCGAAGGCCCTCTCCCCTTCGCTTCCGACGGCTGCTTGTCACCGACGAAGGGGGAGGGTCCAAGGAGCTGTCGGGTTTATCTCGTTGTAGGTTTTTCCTATTCCCCTTTTGTACATAGCTCGAAGGAGATGTCGACGCTCGTCTTCTTCATCTAGGATGCTTCCTTCCATGGATGGCTTGAGCTCAACTAGAGCTTGTTGCACCTCATGTTGTCTGCAAGGTTGCTATGGAGTTATTCACCTTTGTTTGGGCCAAGCACAACAGATTTTCCATGTGGTGGGAAGTCTTCTTCCTCCACAATGACGAGGTGGTGTTGGCCTTTCAAATCCTCTTTGGCAAGGTTGCTGCCGCCGATTTGGTGCCCTTCCATGTCTTCGACGAGTCATCTTCAAGATTAAACTGAAACTTACTAAGTTCATTGAGTCCGCTTCAACCTTCGCTTTCGCGAGGTCCCTGTTGAGTTTGTGGTTGGATGCCATCTTTTATGGTCAACGTCATTTCTCCGTCAGCTTCAACATCTGGGTCAATCGGGAGGGACTGAGTTGCTTCTTTCTATTTCTTTTGGAGTCCTTTGCATATTTTAGGGGCCTTCTGTAACTTGTATTTCTTGGGGGCCTTTTGCAAGTTCTGTTGTACGTCTATCAGCTTGTTCCATTGCGAGCAACCTAATCTCTCTTTGTTTGAGATATGTTAAAATCAATTATGCAATCTGTATGTGAACTCCCTATATTGAAGAAATATGTGAGTTTTCTTTTTTTTAAAAAAAAACTCATCATTTCCTCAAACTTGGCCCACTCAGATCACATTTGAAGCAACCATGTTCTCTGTATGAAACACTGACACTCCACAAGATACTAACTTGCTTTTAGGACAACTCCAGTTGAGCATAAATCGAATAATGGGCAAAGATGAATGAATAGAGCACAATGTGACGCCGATTGTTAAGTGTCAGAAAAAAAAATCCCACAACCCGTTGCCAGTGGGATCCTCCTCTAGGTCTGGCAAGCTGAAGAGGAGTACATCAGAGCTGCAACAGTAGCCTCGCCCCTACCGTCTACACCATCACGCTGCGTCGCGCTGCCGCTGGTCGATCGCACCTCCTCCAAAGGTTGTTGGGCTCCTCCCTACCTCCTTCCTTCCCTCTCTATCCAACGGAGACAAGGCACAGTGGCGAAACAGGTGGCGGGCGGCGGAAACAGGCGAGGACCTCGCCTCTGTTGGTATCGTCGCCTGCTGAGGTCGAGAACAAGGAAGAAAGGAAGAGGGGGTGGCGATAGCAATTGAGGCCTGCCTCGCCATCGTCAATGCTGCTGATGGTCAGGTAAGAGGGAAAGAGAGAGGTGAGAGTGTCTGGCAGGCTGGCCCACCATTTTTAAAAAGAAAAATAATGATTGGATTGCCACATATACGTCATGTAGGACAGACAGTTTCGGATTGAGTCAAGGGGGTTCTTCACCTGGTATAGACAATTTAGGGTGTAAAATGTCCCGTTTATGGTCCGAGAGTATAATTTGTGCTGTCGTGATAGTTCATAGGGTGCCTTTAAGAAAAATAAAAAAAATATTAGTTGCAGCGGAGAGACAAACGGACGCAACTACGCAAGTGATTGGAGAAAGATTTATTTATGTAGGTCCCACAATTTGGCATTAACGCTGCTTCTACCGAATCAAAGATTTGTTCGTCTTTCGTGACTTGTTTGAGTCGAATGAGGACTGAGGATGTCCTCGTGTGGTATCCAAAACTCTATAGAGAATATAACTAGGGTACGTGTTGACCCATGTCCTTACGCGACGAGACGATTAATTAATGGATAAAAATATAATGCTAATTCATTTTGTAACACTGGTTTGATTTGTGGCTGAAACCCCTGAGGCACAACTCAAAGAGGATCAGGTTCCTTCAGTTCGTGGATAAAAGGCTAATCGTATTAGTATTAAAGAGGAGTGACAAAGTTAAAAGAGAGAACATAAATGGTCGGCAAGGTCAAAGTCAAAGTCAACACAAAGCTACTAGGTCAAAGTAGTGTTTATTTGTCTCGATCACTGGATGATGACTCGAGCCATGGCCCAATTGATGGGCCCATGCGTATGCGATGGGTCATACTTTTCTCTCCTAATCCCAGACTCTAATTGGGCTCTAATTAATGCCTGGTTTATTAGCCTTTCCAAATCGAAAGGAGCAGCACGTGTTTAAATACTAGGAGTATATATATTGAGAGCATAACCAACAGATCAATTATGATATTTTATCAGAAAAGTATGCTCCAGCAATCCCCCTAATAAATTTTCAAAAATCTAGAAGTCTTTAGAATCTTAATTATATAATTAATCTAAGCTGAAATTTGCACAAATTATTGGTTAACACAGCAGTGCGAGACACTCGCTTGCTAGGGAGATATTTTTGTACTAGAAGCTAGCACGATTAATTGCACGTGGTCTAGTAACAATTGTCATAGGCATCACCAAACAAGATGGAACGTTTTTAGCTGCTCTGCAAACAAAAATAAACAAACGAACGAACAAACAAAAAGTTCCCAACATGTAACAGTGAGATGAACGAAAAAATATATATTAGTATGTTTTATACATGTTTAAAATGCTGAACTTTTTCTAATTCTTTCTTCTGTAGCTTTTGCGGCCTAAAAGCTAGTACTAGTACTATAATAATGAGTTAATGACAGCTGTGAGGATAGGTTTAGCGATTATTATAGTCTAGAGAGCTCCTAGTTTCCTATCAACAAAATTAAAAATTTCAAACTCCAAAACAAAATCGTTTTTATATGTACGTGTTCTCTCAGATTGGCATTTTTGCACGTGTTGGATGGAAGTTATCACTGTACTGAAAAATGAAGACGAAATGCTATCTCAATCCCTCTCGCTCTCCGTTTGGTGAAATCCACGCAAACGAGTGCAAATTAAGGGGCTATTCACTTTGATACTTAAATCAACTTACCAAAATTTAGTAGTGTTAAATTTTGGCATCACCAATATTGATAAGGTTGAGATGTGTAAATTATGTTTAGTTTGTTACTTTTGCCAAGATTTTGTGAGTGAAATATTCTAGATCGAATTACCAAACTTTAGTAGTGGAGATAATTTTCGGCCCAATACCAGTCCTTAAACCCAAAAGCTGGCAGCTTGGTCGCTTGGAGCCTTGTTAGGAAAAAGTACATCGAAGGTCCCTCAACTTGTCATCGAGTTACAAAATCGTCCCCCAACCACAAAACCAGATATCCGTCGTCCCTTAACTAATCAAAACCAGTTACAATAGGTTTTTGGTGGTTTTGACACCGGTTTTATCCTACGTGACGGCTGAGTCAGCGTGGAACCTACGTGGACCCCACATGTCAAGATGCCACGTCATCTCTCTTACCCCTCCTCTCCCTTCCTCCTCTCTGTCTCTTTGCTTCTATTCTCTTCTCTGGGCAAGCCGGCCGGCGGCTGGGGAGGAGGCTGCCGGGGCGATGTGGCCAGGCGGGAGAGGAGGAGGCGGCGGCGGCGTGGCAGGAGTATGGCGTGCCCGATCCTCGTCTTCGCCTGCGTGATCGACTGGATCCTGGCCCCTTCTTTCAGCTTCTGCAATGGAATTTTACGGTTCTCTGTCAGCATCAACAGCTAAACACATGGCTAATGGTGATCTTTGTTACTGTGTATACGAATATATATCTGCAAGGATCAGTTACCTTTAGGTTGAAGGATCCCAGGTGCAAGTTATCGACTTGCATTCCTGGTTTCTGAATGCTCCGGGAGCCGTAGAACATGATGCACATTCCCATGCCAAACGTGAGAAGAGCGGTGCAGATCAGGAACATGTCTGAAGAAGAAGAATCAGAGTTTGATTTGTCAAGTGATGATAAGGGGCGTACCTATTGCCTCGATCAGCAGCTTTACAATCTCAGCTTGATCTATTGTCTGCGACATGGCAAAACTGCAGGAAGAATGATCTCAGAACTTCACCGCAACCCTGCATAATTCATCACGAAAATCTTTGAAACCTTTCACTTGATAGTTGATACAATCTTGCACACCATTGCACCATTGGTTAAGCTTGTAGGAGGAATTGAAGAAAGTAGTTGTTTTTACCTCGAGAAAACATGGGACTGATCCGAGGAGTGATCCGGCCACACCGATGAGCATGAACGACTGGCATCTGACAACACCCTGAAAATTTTACTGTTCATATGAACTCCATCAGTAAAACCGCGAACTTCGGCTAATTTGGATTCCCAAAAAACGTAAAAAAATCAATGATTTCATATGTTAAAAACTGACAAGAGTATATCACAATTGTGCAGCCTTTGACTACTCTCTCTAGATGTCTCTCCCTGCCTGATGTGTCCCCTACTTCTTTCTGACTTCGAGTCACTGATACGTGGACTCACCTGGTAGAGGGTTCATATATCAGTGATACATGGACTCATTTGGCAGAGGGTTCATATATCAGTGACTCATGTCAGATAGAACTTAATTACCATGGCCTCAACTTTTTAAAAAATTCATGAAAGTTGGTCTGTCATACTCCATATAGGATGGTTTTGATCTTCTCCCCTCCTAAAATTTTGTAATTATTTTTCCAGAGTATGTATTTCAAATAGGGGTTTAAATGGAAACGGAACAAATACATCGCGAGGAGTGCAGTCGCAAACGGATGCAATCGCTTTATACGTCCCCGTACAGATAAAGTGCACCCTCTCCGGCACGTCCGACCGTAGCTGTCTGAGTCTAAGGCATATTTAGATGGGACTAAAACTTTTATATCCCTATCACATCGAATGTTTGGATATTAATTATAAATATTAAACATAGACTATTAATAAAACCCATCAATAATCTTGGACTAATTCGCGAGACGAATCTATTGAGCCTAACTAATCCATGATTAGCCTATGTGATGCTAGAGTAAACATTCTCTAATTATGGATTAATTATGCTTAAAAAATTTGTCTCGTGAATTAGCTTTCATTTATGTAATTAGTTTTGTAAGTAGTCTATATTTAATACTCTAAATTAGTGTCTAAAGACAGGGACTAAAGTTAAGTCCCTGGATCCAAACACCACCTAAGCTTGACCGGCTGTTACTCCAGCTGGCTGAAGCTTGCCCGATGGTTACTCCCTACTTCTGTCAGTGTCCGGTGGCCCCCCCTTGATAGTATCAATTTTTTCTTTTTGAGAACATTGATAGTATCGGTTGCTATGCAATTGTGGATAGTGTTCACTGTATTGTACTTCTCACATTTACCCTTTTCCCCTTACAATATACTCCCTCCATCCCAAAAAAAACCTAATCCTAGGTTTGAACCACACATGGGTTCAGGTTCAAACCTAGGATTGGTTTTTTTTTTTGGGACGGAGGGAGTACATCATCCGTGACTCATCCAATAAAAAGTCAAATTCTATAATTGAATCTAAACATAAACTTATTTATGTGCACTCGTATGCCTGTGATATTTTTAATTAAAATTTATAGGTAAATATAATAATTTAAGAAATGTAGATATCATTTCGTCAACTTCCTCTTCCTATATTCATCAAAATATTCTTAACTGTTATTTTCCTCGGGAACCATTATCCTTTCTCTCCCTATCGATGGCCGGTGAAAAGTGAAAGGGCAACTTCCTTCCCCTTTGTCGAAGGCCCTCTCCCCTTCGCCTCTGACGGCTGCTTGTCACTGACGAAGGGGGAGGGTCCAAGGAGATGTCGGGTTTATCTCATTGTAGGTTTTCCTATTCCCCTTTTGTACATAGCTCGAAGGAGATGTCGATGCTCGTCTTCTTCGTCTAGGATGCTTCCTTCCATGGATGGCTTGAGCTCAACTAGAGCTTGTTGCACCTCATGTTGTCTGCAAGGTTGCTATGGAGTTATTCACCTGTGTTTGGGTCAAGCACAACAGATTTTCCATGTGGTGGGAAGTCTTCTTCCTCCACAATGACAAGGTGGCGTTGGCCGTTCAAATCCTCTTTGGCGAGGTTGCTGCTGCCGATTTGGTGCCCTTCCTTGTCTTCGACGAGGCATCTTCAAGATTAAACTGAAACTTACTAAGTTCATTGAGTCTGCTTCAACCTTCACTTTCGCGAGGTCCCTGTTGAGTTTGTGGTTGGATGCCATCTTTTATGGTCAACGTCATTTCTCCGTCAGCTTCAACATTTGGGTCAATCGGGAGAAGAAGCAAATCAAGGACTGAGTTGCTTTTTCTATTTCTTTTGGAGTCCTTTGCATATTTCAGGGGTCTTCTGTAACTTGTATTTCTTGGAGGCCTTTTGCAAGTTCTGTTGTACGTCTATCAGCTTGTTCCATTGCGAGCAACCTAATCTCTCTTTGTTTGAGATATGTTAAAATCAATTATGCAATCTGTATGTGAACTCCATATATTGAAGAAATATGTAAGTTTTCTTTTTTTTAAAAAAAAAAACTCATCATTTCCTCAAACTTGGCCCACTCAGATCTCATTTGAAGTAACCATCTTCTCTGTATGAAACACTGACACTCCACAAGATACTAACTTGCTTTTAGGACAACTCCAATTGAGCATAAATCAAATAATGGGCAAAGATGAACGAATAGAGCACAATGTGACGCCGATTGTTAAGTGTCAGAAAAAAAATCCCACAACCCGTCGCCGGTGGGATTCTCCTCCAGGTCTGGCAAGCTGAAGAGGAGTACATCAGAGCTGCAACAGTAGCCTCGCCCCTACCGTCTACACCATCACGCTGCGTCGCGCTGCCGCTGGTCGTTCGCACCTCCTACGAAGGTTGTTGGGCTCCTCCCTACCTCCTTCCTTCCCTCTCTATCCAACGGAGACAAGGCGTAGTGGTGAAACAGGTGGCGGGCGGCGAAAACAGGCGAGGACCTCGCCTCTGTTGGTATCGTCGCCTGCTGAGGTCGAGAACAAGGAAGAAAGGAAGAGGGGGTGGCGATAGCAATTGAGGCCTGCCTCGCCATCGTCAATGCCGCTGATGGTCGGTAAGAGGGAAAGAGAGAGGTGAGAGTGTCTGGCAGGCTGGCCCACCATTTAAAAAAAAATGATGATTGAATTGTCACGTATACGTCATGTAGGACAGACAGTTTCGGATTGAGTCAAGGGGTTATTCACCTGGTATAGACAGTTCAGGGTGTAAAATATCCCGTTTATGGTCCGAGAGTATAATTTGTACTATCGTGATAGTTCATAAGGTGCCTTTAAGAAAAATAAAAAAAATATTAGTTGCAGCGGAGAGACAAACGGAGGCAACTACGCAAGTGATTGGAGAAAGATTTATTTATGTAGGTCCCACAATTTGGCATTAACGCTGCTTCTACCGAATCAAAGATTTGTTCGTCTTTCGTGACTTGTTTGAGTCGAACGAGGACTGAGGATGTCCTCGTGTGGTATCCAAAACTCTATAGAGAATATAACTAGGGTATGTGTTGACCCATGCCCTTACGCGACGAGATGATTAATTAATGATAAAAATATAATGCTAATTCATTTTGTAACACTGGTTTGATTTGTGGCTGAAACCCTGAGGCACAACTCAAATAGGATCAGGTTCCTTCAGTTCGTGGATAAAAGGATAATCATATCTCTTCTTTCTATAAAACTAATGCCCACTACACACCTAAAGCTCAACATGCAAGCATAGCATTTATTAGCACTACTAAGACCTATATGCAAGCATATCACATCAACCAATTAAGCTCACGAAACTCAACATGCAAACACATAGTAATTATATCTACAATTTATTTTATTCTAAAAATAAACATACACATGTTAAATCATCGTTCTCAAATCATTTTCATAATATTTCAATCCAAATCATTCATCATTTCTCTATTATCTAACATATATCCTACAGCAAAACGCGGGGTGTCATCTAGTTAGTATTAAAGAGGAGTGACAAAGTTAAAAAGAAACATAAATGGTCGGCAAGGTCAAAGTCAAAGTCAACACAAAGCTACTAGGTCAAAGTAGTGTTTATTGTCTCGATCACTGGATGATGACTCGAGCCATGGCCCAATTGATGGGCCCATGCGTATGCGATGGGTCATACTTTTCTCTCCTAATCCCAGACTCTAATTTGGCTCTAGTCAATGCCCGGTTTATTAGCCTTTCCAAATCGAAAGGAGCAGCACGTGTTTTAATACTTAGGAGCATCACCAACATATCTATTAAATAGATCCCCAATTATAAAATTATGATATTTTATCAGAAAATTATGCTCCAGCAATCCCCCTAACAAATTTCCAAAAATTTAGAAGTCTTTAGAATCTTAATTATATAATTATTCTAAGTTGAGATTTGCATAAATTATTGGTTAACACAGCAGGGCGAGATACTCGCTTGCTAGAGAGATATTTTTGTACTAGAAGCTAGCACGATTAATGGCACGTGGTCTAGTAACAATTGTCAAAGGCATCACCAAACAAGATGGAACGTTTTTAGCTGCTCTGTAAACAAAAATAAACAAACAAACGAACCAAACAAAAAGTTCCCAACATGTAACAGTGAGATGAACGAAAAAAAATACGTAGTATATTATGTTTTATCCATGTTTAAAATGCTGAACTTTTTCTAATTCTTTCTTCTGTAGCTTTTGCGGCCTAAAAGCTAGTACTAGTACTGTAATAATGAGTTAATGACAGCTGTGAGGATAGGTTTAGCGATTATAGTCTAGAGAGCTCCTAGTTTCCTATCAACAAAATTAAAATTTTCAAAAAAAAATCGTTTTTATATGTACGTGTTCTCTCAGATTGGCATTTTTGCACGTGTTGGATGGAAGTTATCACTGTACTGAAAAATGAAGACGAAATGCTATCTCAATCCCTCTCGCTCTCCGTTTGGTGAAATCCACGCAAATGAGTGCAAATTAAGGGGCTATTCACTTTGATACTTAAATCAACTTACCAAAATTTAGTACTGTTAAATTTTGGCATCACCAATATTGATAAGGTTGAGATGTGTAAATTATGTTTAGTTTGTTAATTTTGTGGAAAAATCTAATATATTGTATTCTGATGTTTTCTCGTCTATTACATCGATCCTCTCATGGGATATATATAGGAGTACATATGGGATAGAGACTTAGAGTACAATACAAGTAAGAGTAGATTTATCTCTAGGATTCTATCTCTAGGACTGTATCTTATCTATAGGATTCTATCTCTACTTCTCTAGGATATATCTTATCTCTATAATTTGTTTTTGACTCTTATCTCTAACTAGTATATTATACTTCTAACATTCTCCCTCAGTCGTAACGGGAGCGAAGCGAACGATTGCGACTGTATTTGAAATCTTCTATTTCTTCATCTCCATCGACTCACCATCATCGATTGCATCTCTGATGGACGGTCCTCCACCTGATTCCTGCGTCCCCATCTGT